AAATACCAATACAGATTCACTCACTGATTCTGAATCAGAAACAACTAAAGGTAAACAATCAATGAAAACTGAAAAAGAAAATATAACTATACAAAAGTAATTCTCGCAGGTCAAAGACCTGATCGACAATAATAGTGACAAATATCCCTTGGATTTTGATACATTCTGCATTTTCGTAGAAATGGCGAAAAATGAAAGCAATCATATAAACACTATTAAACTATTCACTCCTAATGTCCATGACGTACTGGGTATGGTAACAGATATACATTAAAAAAGTTAATGGACGCACAGTTAAAATAAGATGCACAAAATTGCTGAATAAAATTAAAAAAGGTCGCGAAGAAAAACCATATGTTTAAACACAGCCATAGTACAATTACTTTATATTAATAAAATGCTCAAAATATTACAATGGAACTGCAATGGTTTAAACAAACACAAAGACCTATTTAATATCCTAATGTCTAGGCATGCACCAATTTGTGCGGCGATTCAAGAAACACATCTACTCAACCAACACAATATTCAATATAAATAACTATGAAATAATGAGAAAAGATAGAAATTCATCCAAAGCTTGGGGTGGGATATCCATAATGGTCTAACATGGAGTCTTTTTTGAAATAATAAACTTACAAACCGATTTTGAAGCAGTTGCCATAAAGATTTATTTACCAAATCCAATAACGATTTTACATTTTATATATCCCACAATGGAAAAAATTTTCTACCGAGGAACTGTCTTGGCTTTAGTGTTGCCCAAAATCGGTCTTGGTCTTGCAATTTGCAAGACCAAGACCAAAGCCGCCTGACTGTTGCAAGACCAAGACTCGTCTCGTTCTCGCATTTGGGCAACACTACTTGGCTTACTAGCCAACTCCCTAAACCATATTACATTTAGGAGACATGAACGGCCACCATCCTCCCTGGTGACCTGGGACCTGACTATATCGATAACAGGGGTAACATCTTGCTAACATTTTTAGAAGTCGATAAAAGCACAGCATTATTGAACGACGGCACTAAAACCCATCTTAATCTAAGTACCAATACACTCACAGCCCCAGATCTCAGCCTCTGTGAACACCATCTCTTACCAACAACGAACTGGAGAGTGCTAGATGAATTATTTGGCAGTGATCACTTCCCGATTCTCCTAGAAATTCCAGGAAATAGGCCATTTGTACAATACAACAACCGATGGCAGTATTCTTCAGCTTACTGGGAAATTTTTAAGGAATACATAATTGCAAACATAAATCAAAACGAAAGCTCTTTAGACACACTTGAATATCTAAATATCAATGAACAGCTAAACGTTTTTAACCAGACAGTACTCGAAGCAGCATCTCATAGTATCCCTAAGATAAACAAAGAATATTCTCGCGTCCGAGCCCCATGGTGGAATACTGAATGCAGTAAAGCAGTCAAGGCAAAAAAGAGAGCGCTAATTAGACACAAAAAAAAAACCAGACTATTTTCTGATATTCTAGAATTTAAGGAACGGAGAGCCTACGCTAATAAAATTATAAAACAAAGAAAAAAGGAATGTTGGAGAGAATACGTATCTTCAATAAATAGTTCGACTACATCTCAACAAGTATGGTCCAAAATTAGAACAATTAAAGAATACAAAAAAAAATGTTCACAATATCAGGTTTAAAAATCTAAAATGGCATCGTAACAAAAAATGTGAAGATAGCAAATGAACTAGGATCCTACTTTCAAAAAGTATCTTCCACTGAAAATTTCGACCAAACTTTTGTTATCCACAAAAAGACAACTGAACGCCAACGGGTCATAATCAGATGCCAAGATCTGGAAAACTATAATGCGATATTCACCATAGAGGAACTTAATAATGTCTTACTAAAATGTAAAATGTTAACTCCTGGTCCTGATCAAATTCCATATTTATTCCTAAAAAAAACTCCCTATGGAAGCCAAATCACATCTCCTAAAATTGTACAATAATATATAGGTAGATGGAACCACACCTGACTTATGGCACAAATCAATAATCATACCGATACCTAAGAACAAAAAAGCTATTAATCCCGATTGTTTTCGACCTATATCGCTTACCTGCTCTACTTCGAAATTAATGGAAAAGATGTTTAACCTAAGGTTGTGATAGACGTCCTTGAAAAAGGTATCTGATTGCCAAAGAACAATGCGGTTTTGTTAGAAATCGTTCAACTTTAGATCAACTGATAAAACTGGAATCAGAAATACAAACAGCGTTTAAAAAAAAAGAACACCTAATTGCCATTTTCTTTGATATACAAAAAGCATACGATAGAGTATGGAGACGATATATTGTGAACAAGTTATTGGAATGGGGTATAAAGGGAAGGATGGTCAGGTATATAGAAAATTTCCTACAAAAAAGAGTCTTCCAAGTCAAAATTGAAGACCAGCTATCAACCACCTTCATCCAAGAAAATGGGGTAACCCAAGGATCAGTTTTAAGCACAACTATTTTTACAATAGCAATAAACGATATTGTAAAGAATGTCCACAAACCAGCAATTTGTACGTTGTTTGCAGATGACTTCACAATAATCATCAGAAGCAAATATATAAAATTCATAGAATGGAAAATAAAAAACATCTTAAAATCAATAGAGCAATGGACTAAAACTACAGGTTTCAATTTTGCCATTAATGACTCTTTAAACTCATTAATGGCCATTGCCGAAGGGAAAGCCGACAATGCCATTTCCAGGAAAATCAAAAACTGCCTCTGGGAAATGAAGGAGCCGCCGGACAGAGACATCGTCCTCGCATGGGCACCCTCACATGGTGGCATATCTGGGAACGAAGCTGCAGACAGAGCTGCGAACCTGGCAAGAAGAAAAACTGATGGAACCACAATGATCAATTTAACGACCACTGCTGACTGGAGATTGGAATGCAAAAAAATCCTAAATGAAAAATGGCAATTCAAGTGCAACCAATCTACGAATAAATTACAAGAAATTAAAAAAGATACCAAACCGTGGACGACGTCTTTCAGAAAGAACAGAAAAAAAGAAACAATTTTAACTCGACTTAGAATTGGACATGCAGCCTTTACCCACAGGTACCTAATGAGTGGCCTGGAACCACCATTTTGTAAAACATGCAACACATCACTTACACTGAAACACATTGTAACAACTTGCAGACTGTACTCTGACACCAGAAAAAAACATAATATACCTTCCAACATATCTGAAGCACTTTCAGATGACGAAGAAAAGATACAAAAAGTATTTGAATTTATAAAAGACATTAAATTTCTACACTTAATTTGATTACATCTAAAGCCGCTAATGACCCGATCGGTAGATGCGGAATGTAACAATAAATAAATAAATAAACTTGGTTGTTCTGTGGCAGCATTTTTTAAAAAATGTGAGGGAAATAGATTCTCCTACAGTAGAAATAATAAGTCTTCTTGGTGACATATTCTATACTACCGATCATTTATTATATATCATATTATAATCTTCATATATCCTACTACTATTTTACTGCTTCCAAAAAACTGAATGTCAATTGTCATTTATACATACTGTACCATTCTACATTATCACAACTTTGTTTATATTTTAATTTACATGCTAAATTAACTTCTATTTTTTGTATAGTGCATTATTTATGTTAATTTATATTTTTTTTATAACTGTACCTGGTAACCTGTATTAGTTTAATTTCAGTTGAAATTTTATTTTATTGTTTATCTTACCCAATTAATATTTATAACTTATAACTTTTTTTTTAGCCCTGATGAAGACCTTCAACATAGGTCAAAATGTCAGCAAATACAATAAAATACTATTATGGTATATATTATTATATATTGACCTCACATACGTATTTAGAATATGTGCAAATATGCATGTCCTTCCCAAGGGCAATGGCTTCCTCTCTTTTTAAAAACTTTCATTGCCGTTGTTAAAAACAGTGCAATTGAAAATTGAATTATAAAAACAGTCTTGTATTTGACTTACCTATGGTCTTCTCCATATTGTTTCTCCTTCCATCCTGATGTAGTGTCTAAGAAATACTTTGTATTAACAATGAATAAGTTTTTTAGCATTTAGTTTTAAATATATCTGTTTGTTCTTTGAAATTGTATATGGAATTAGCCCTAATCTTTGATGATTTTTTTTTCAAAATAACAAGTGGAGGGCAATCTCAAGTGATTGCTTCATGTCAGTTTATTTATTTATAATAATAATAAATAATTCTTAATGATTTTGTATAATGGAGCTGTATCTTTTTTGCAGAATACCCTTCAATTCACATATATGAGTAAAGAAACAATCTTCTTTTATGTCAGTCATAAAAATAAAATAATATCTCAAATGCAAGAAATAATGCAGATGGTATATTTGTATAGAGTAAATAATGACCTATACTATCTGTTTTATTTTATTTGAACATTGAACATAACAACAAAGTAATATAATTTATATCATTGCCTTTTAAATTAAAAAAAAATATATTTTCTGAGGGCATTTATTGATACTTGATTTTCTGAAAAAAGGTTTGTTGCTACTTAGATTATTTATCATTGAATTTGTAAAGAATAATCATTTATATCCAATATTTGGGTGGGCCTGTACAAGTGTATACCTCAGTTGTTCAAAAGGAAGGTTAAGGTAGAAATAAATAAAAGCAATATGTATTTTATGTTTTTATATTTAAATTGATCAATAACTATATTGTTCATATTGTTCAGTCAAAATATAATCTATAATATACAAATGGTTTCTTCAACAACACATTTCAGTTTTTAGATTAAAAACCAGAATACTTTGACTGATTTAAAATATTAATAAAAATCTTATAAAATTTCTATAACTATTTACAAAATAATTACAATATAATTTAAAAACTATTTACAAGCTTGCAGAATAAAATAAGCAATTGTGAGATATGATTGACAACTACTATATGATTGACAACTACTATATGATTGACAACTACTATATGATTGACAACTACTATATGACTAACTGCTGATACATGATTTGTAACAACGCCAGTTCCTCCTTGAGCCTGTCTACCGAATTCGAGCTCGCATACTCTTCCTTTCCTTTCTGCCCCCACTTGAGCATCATGAGCTTGTTTTCCTTCTCTCTCATTTCTTGGAACAAATTCTGTTTGTTTTCTTCTAATTGGGCATCGTACCATTCCTGGTGGGAAGTAAGTTTTGCTTCTTCTGTCAGAAGCCTTTTTCCCGTATTTTCTTCCTCCTCTTCATCACCCTCACTGTCATCATCGCTTGATGAATCAAAGCATTGTTTTCTTTTGTCTGAAAACACAAATTAAATAAACATGTATTATAAATTATTACAAAAACTTTTCTTATGGTATAAATTGGTTTCATATTACTAAATTTATAAGCTTAGGTAGGGCCTTAACAGATATCTAGAAGGACATGATTTATCTCAAGTATGATTTACCGCACTATATAATTTTTGCACAATTTTAATTAAATATTGACCATCATTTCTTGAAATGGCGTTTGTATTGGTATCCTTACTGAAAATGAGACATTCAATTTCAAAACTGTTTATATAATTATTTGCAGTAATTCCTAAATTAATTTTTAAAATATTTAGTACTGGAATTAACATAATTGTCGGATTTCTCCTAAGAATTCATAAGACAAATAAACTCAGCACATCAATTGCAAAATGCCATCGATGACTTCAGTGCTAAGTTGAAGAAATTGCTGAAAGCTTGATCTTTTAAAAGGCCATTCAAAAGAATAAATTTCTCTAAAGAAATGGTTTCTACACCATTAGATCTTTTTTGGTTTTTTCATAGTTATAGACTCAATTATTAAGAATTGAAATCGTACGATAATCACTATAATTTATAGAGATAAGAAAAATCACTTTTACGGCAATATAAATATTCCAATAAAAACCTAAAAATATTTTATTTCAACCATCGATTTCATCCTATTTAAAAGTTATCGTGTTCTTTAACTTTATCAGAAACCCCAGATATAAAAATATTAAAAATAAAAAAAGCAAAATTAAAAAAAAAATTATTTTGGTTTATAACTTTGTATTCTTTAAGTTGATGTCATGAGTATTTGTAGCTTGGGTAATAACTGTGATTTTTTAACCAAACTAATTCAGATCTTAAGATAAAATCTTATCATTTAGTATAATTAAAATTAATGTTTATCATCTTTATAGATAAGGCACAAATTCCCCCCAAAATAGCTGACTACAGGAGGCAAATAATTATCTACAAAACTGCAAGATTGGTACTGATAAAAAAAAAGCTTCCATAGCAAGATTGGTTTTACATGATTATAAAATAATCATAATTTTTTATTTATATCCTGTCTTAAGAACCTTTTATAATTTATGCCTCAGTTATTAAATTATACATTAAGTTTATAATAACTGAATAGTTAAGTAGATGAAGGTAATATGTAAAATATTTATAGTTCTGAGAAAATTGAATTGAAAGTTTGACATTGGTCCATTTTTTCCAAAGAAGCTTATATATAACTAGTTTGAAAGTTGTTTGAATGATTCAAAAAGCATCTAATTTTGATGAAAAAAATATATACACTAGGTTTATATTTAACTTACTTTGATGTACCAATTACCAGTAGTGGATCCAGAATTTAATTTTGGTGTTAACATTCGAGATCTGGGATAGAGGACCCTTTCTCTAGATATTTGTAAAGGCCCAGGATCGAAACTACTTTTTTTATACCAATTTGAAGTAACCAAATTATTTTAACTATTATAATTGTTTAAGTATTTGGCTCAGATCATTATTATTAACAATATCTAAAAAATAAGGTTTTTTTAAGGGAGGGGGAGAGGGGAGCATCATCCTAAAAGCATTCCTCGAATTAACAGGTTTCTTAGTAATAATATGTTTATTATGCTATATAATAATCTTATTATGACAGGAAATCCTGAACATTTATAACTCTAGATAACCATCATATCTAAATTAAATTATTAGTCTTATAAGAGAATGAAAAGAGTGATTAAGGATTTAATTAGTGATTTCACTAATAAAGAGAAAAAATATTTATGGAATAACATGACCTTTATCATCACTTAACATCTCTATTACCTCAATTATAAGCCAACTATTAAATTAATGTGATGATATGAAATGTGGCTGAAAGGAAATATATCACATAACATGTTCCATAATTTATTTATTTTTCATAAATTATCACTCTTCACCTTTACCCACTTAACACTTTACTTATAAATTAACTATAAATCGTTGGTTTATCACAAAACGCCATTATGTGCCATTTCATAATCTCAAATTAATAAGAGCTGTGGTGGATTTTCTATATATAAAATTGTGCACTTAATGTAACTACTTATGATAAATAAAAGAGCATATACAGTGTTTTTGTATAGATAAATAATGTAAAAATTCTTAAAAACATTTTTAAAAGTTAACCTACATCAAATATTGCAATAAACCAACGAAAAATTGCAATAATATATTCATTAGAATAAAACAAATTATTATTGGTAATTAATCTTTACCTCTTGTTACGAAGATGGCAAATGAAGGTTTAGTCACAGTGGTAGTTCCCAATGGCGCCTCTTTTTTTCCTTCTGTTACTGACTTCTCTGCTAGGAAAAAAAGTACATATATATTAGGATTGCAAATTTATTTTAAAATAGACTGGCTGTGAACATTGGATGAACATATGAACTTTTAACTGGGGCTGGAACAAGCCCTGATGTAGGCAATTATGCTTGTTCTTCCAAAGCAAAAACTCTGATATTTGTCAAGAGGAAGTTTTTTGTTTCAGAAAAACTTCCTAAATATGACCTTCAAATACTGACAACAAAGCCTATGTTCAAAGTATGCTCTTATGTATGAAATCAAATGAATTTTTTTATTTAAAGTTTAAGGTTATTCTTTAACGATCAATCGAAATCCTCTTTGGCATGTTTTAAAAAACTTGACTACATATTAGAGGTTTTTCTAAACTACTAGTTTATTAAGCCTGTGTCATCTGACTTCATACCTTTCCTCAATACATGTTACAATTAATTACTAACCAAAAAAACTAAAACCAACTTGTCCACACTTATTTCTAATATGACAGGATATGAATTTGTTAAAATTATTTTTTTCATTATACTAAAACAAGAATTTAAAAAAAGATTTTAAGAAAATAATATATAATTAAATAGTTAGATGATTTCTTTAATACAGCTTAAAAGGTCAATTTCATTTAATGATCCATATCTCTTTTTACTTTCACTTACTCATATATATAATATATAGTAAGGAAAAGTTAAGATCGTGAAAATTTCTGAATCTGAGTTTTCAAAGGAAATAGATGTTTTGAGGTACCCTGGGTCCAAATAACCAAGTCCTGCAAAATGGTCTGTGTGTGTATCTGCGAACAGTCTAGCTCAAAAACGAAAAGTCGTATGAAACTGATATTACGTATTTAAGATAGGCATATTCCTTAGATGTTAATGCAACTTTCCCCTTAAAATCGGCTAACCGGAAGTGTCACTTTATTTCAACGGCGAAACACATGTTTACAATTTTCTCCAAAAACGGCTATGAGAATTTGATTAAACTCGGTGAAGCATTGTATAATTAAGTGGTTTTTAATATCATTGAGGTCTTATCCCTGTTGATGTCACTTTACAGGGCTTAAATGCCAAAATGTTCGTATACGTCTTCCTTTAAAGTACCTTTAATAAGGTTTATTTTAAAAGATAACTCTCTCTTATTGACAGAAACTATAAAAAATAGCTAAATATGCAGTTTAAAAGAAAATGATAAATGGAAACTGGAGAAAAAAAGAAAAATGCTTATCCAGGTTGTAAATGAATCTACGGACATAACAGTCAGAAGGTATAACACAAATATCGTTGGAAAGCAGAGAATTTAAAAAAAAAAAAAATAATATCAAAAAAATAAAGTTGTAGAAAGCACCGTAGAGTGACCAAAAAAAAAAATATAAATAATAATTTCAGAAAACTAACATTTTTTAACGTAAATCACAAGTCTCCGATGAAATTTTCTGACTAAATGTAAACTTTTACAGTTTTTTCTAAATTTAAAAAAAAATATTTGAAATCCACCGAATGAAGCCAACGTCATTGTTTAAAATACTATTTCATTGTACTTGTGTGAAAGAAGTGAAATATTTTTTTTTTTTTTTATTATTTCAATGGAATTTACAACTGTATTACATAGAGAATACAATAAGTAAATGAGAAATTTGTAACATGGCATGTACAACATGAAGAGAAACTACCCATTGGTAGAACTCACTTGAAGTGAAATATAAAAATTTCATGGATATGTTTAGAACATTAAATACTTTTGCTGTAGTTTAATAACTCTAGATATAATGTTATATTTAAATAATTAAGTATCTATTGGCCGTTTATTCCAAAAAATCATCAAGTAATCTTTTAGGAAATTAAATTAGTGAATAATTTGATGAACTTCCCCTTTGTGAAATCCCAACATTATTGTGAGAAAATAATTAGTGTAAAAACTTTTGAGCCATCCATAGCAGACAATGAAAATCTCGTAATTTCATTTTAGTGAACTTTACAATGGAAAATAACAGTTTCATAACTAATAGTCCTAAGATCCATTATCATTTATAGGTGAAATATTCAGATGTAATTTTAAATCTCTCTAGGCATATATAAACCTTTCGGTTGTCAGAATGACCAACTCTAATTTCAACATTCTTATTATTAAGTTCAGTGGCAAAATTTATTGCTTCATTCATAGTTCTATATTTCAGCATAGGAATCACCTACTCTGGAATCAACTTGCTCACTGTCTGTAAAGACATTACTTTTCCAATTAGAAATATCATTAAAATGTGGAAATTGGAGTTAGTCATTCCGTGACCTGAAAGGCTCAGAGACCGAATTTATGTGGTTTATAAAACTAGATTTTTAATGCCTAGCGCCGATATAATAAATATACTTTTTGTTATCTGTAAGCTTTAATCTTTAGCTCCGTTTAAAATGCATTTCAAAAATTTTATAGTACCCCAACATTGCCTGAAAATAATTTCTATTCAAAGTAGAGGAATAAGTGAAAGTTGTGTGTTGCCCGCACCAGATTTTTTTTCTGCGAATACCATCTCTTATCGGAAATAGCTTACATTATTTCGAATTAATGGGTTTTAAATGTAATATCTACGTTTAAAAATGAATTTGATTGATTAAGTAATTTCCTAAATAATTACAATATTACGTTTACTCCTGTTTAAAATATAATTGTTGATACATCATTCAGTGATCTATCTTGAACCTCCTTCCATTTTATTTTTTAAAACCCATTTTCTAAAGATACTCTAATAAAATTATCTGACACGTGTATTCCTTAATATACACGAAGACAGGAAGACGTGTCAATTTGTTTTTCGTTTGCAATATGATCTGATACACATGAACATCATTTGTATCAACAACAAAATTGAACAGTTCAAAACGTATACTGTGTTGATTAATTATAAAAGCAAACAAAATGTATTAAATATTGAAACATTTCGAAAGTCTACAAGCTTCTAGGAACGATTTAAATTACTTACGTCTAATTATCTCTACATTATCAGAAATTCTTATATATTTTGTAATTGATAGCATAAGAAAATAAAAAATTGTGTTCTAATCACTAATACTGAACACAATACTTTCTATTTTAGATGGTGAAGGTCAGAAAAAAAAAATTAAGCTAGAAACTAATCTCTGTTATCAATCACTGTTATCAATCAGATTGAGGGACTACAAGACATTCAAATTGTTGAAGAGCAGGTTAGGTGTCTCAGTTGACAGTTACATTATACAATATATGTAACTGTTAGGTGTTTCAGTTGACAGTTACAATATATGTACAATATATGTAACAATGTTACGTTGAAGTAAGAGGCATTGCATTATGTTCCGCGAGTAGGGCAAATCTGAATTGCTCAGATGACTTTCTGATATTTACGTTTTCCGTATAACGATAAGTTTATTCAACTGAATAGGCATCCAGCTTTCCGTTTTATTAAAGAAAAAAATGCTTTGCAGAGACCACCGAATAATAAGCAAAATAAAACATACATATATATATATATATATATATATATATATATATATATATATATATATATATATTTGAAACATACTTTTTGACAAAATAATTAATTCTAAAACGTTGTTTAAAATTGATAATGCAGCAGTAAGAGCGCAAAACCTTCCTGAAGTAAAAAAATATAAAGATAATATGCTTATAAGTTTTAGCTGTCAAAACAATTCACCCTAATGGTTTTTTATTGTTTGGAATATTTTAAGTACATTTACGAAATATCATTTCTTAGTCATTGGTATGTTCTCATATTTCCACTAAAATAATAACAATAATAAAAAAAAAATATGTTTCTAGGAAGTATAGGAAATTATGTCTCATTTTTATAATTTTACAGCAGAATAGTTTGGAACAAATAAACCATCAAATGAGAATCGACTTAGTGATCTTATTAAAACTTTTAACTTTTCTTGCAACTGGTCTAAGGCATAGTTATTTAAATATAACAATGACAAATTGTGAAAAATGGACATAGTTTCCGATACTTCCAAAAGATATTTGGTAACATTTCCTAAAAATTAATCAGAAAGTACATTGATGAATTTCCCTCGTGAAATCAGGACATGATTCACTTACTACAACTATATTTGATTTGTAAAAAAGTTTGTAATGTTAAGATGCACTTACTGTAAATATAATGAAAATTCAGAAAAACTTTAGGTCCATCAAAAATGTACTTGGTGACTTTGTGCAACAAACCCAACATATATAAAAGTTGAACTAACCTGAGATAGACTTCATCGCCTCCTCTTCTTTGCTTTGGTTGATCGGCACAGTGATGGGTTCCATGTTGACACTCGGACACTAGATCACAGAATGACCACTCTTGAAGAAGGTCGCTAACTCCTCCCTTCTCCCGGGAGGTGCTGCTATCTGGTGGCGGCCCTCCCTAACGTACCTGTTTCCTACCTGAGCTAATTCTGAGTCATAAGAGTGACCTGCTAGGTCAATACCTTGTCTCCGATGTCGGCTTGTAAATATCTATTTTCTCATGCTATAGACGTGTTTAAGTTATTTGTCATAGTGAAATTACTGGACCCCCGGTACCTGAGTACGGAGGTTATAGGGGTCTGGTAAAAATATTATGATTCTAAAAGATATATTAATATATTTTAAATTAAAGTGTATTTTACTATAATTATTTTAAAATATAGTATATATAATAACTATAAATCACTAGATGATTTAACAAGTGAATCCTGCCTCCTCCCAAAAAACACAACGTGGAATTTAATTATTTTTTAATTGGTCTATATTTGTTTCTATGAGTCAATCTGAGAACATGAACAATCCCAATATTGTCAATGTTATTTAATTTAAAGGTGCGTACAAACATTTAACAAATTATGGAAAATATAAATATCTAAACGATTGTTTCCGAATCTTAGTGTTTTGTTTCTTATTATTTATTTTTTCCGCCTATTCTCGATAACAAGAGAAATGAAAAAAAAGTTTGACTTAACGCCAATGTCGCCTTTAGTTAAGTTGGATAATTGTGTCTCCCGATTGGATTTAACCACCTTTATATGGAAAGGCAAAATAATTAGAATTATTATTATTCAAATCGCATAATTTCCGATGTGCTACTATGTAAGCACATATAAAAGGAAAAAAATATATATATAGATATACATATATAAATGTGGTATCTCTAAAAATATTGTTACTCCATTAATTACAATAACTTAAAAAAGTAAGTTAGTCCATCCCCAAAATTGACCAAGTATCCACTAATGTTATACGGTATGTAGATATCCTAATTGCCTGTTAAAGGGCTTTCTTCAGAATGTATTTATTATAATAACCATCTTTCCTAAACATATATATTTCCAACATAAAAAATAAAATAATTAATAAAATAGCAGCAAATACAAAAAGCATAACGTTGAAGAATTGATGGACACAGCAAGATTTGTTATTTGTATTTTAACATTTCGTAACGAACTAATTATGTGGAAAGGACATCCCCTACACAAAAAAATTAAATTTAAAAATTCTGATTTAAAATTTAAAATTAAGCTGGATTCATAAATTACGGATTGAGCACCCTATGTAATCTGCTATGAATCATATATAAATTCAAAGTGCATTGTGTAGTTACAATGGTGTGTATGTAAATTCATGTTTCTTAAAACTATTTTTCTTGAATATTTCAGTTATGTAATATAAACCGAATTAAAACTAGATATTGGAAGATAAATCGTGTTTGCTATGATACATCGTCGGCACTTTGTTAATGTAACGAATTTGCAAAGTTGGGCAGGTTCACATTCATTACTTTAATTGCTGGCAACGATATGTAAAATTAAATAGATTATAAAAGTCATAGCAAAGTAGTTGAATATAGAATTGGCCCAATAGAATATAGTTCTGTACATTTAGGAAGGATTTCCTTTGGGAGGGTCGAGGGTTTCAGGACCGCCATAACCCAAGAAGTGTTCCTGTTATCGGTAGAGGGCCGCCGGTAAGGGACGAGAGGTGTATACCTGATGCCATAAAGCTATAAAGTTTATTGGCGGGCCAAATTTAGAGGGAAAATCCTCAGGAAGGAACATAAAAGGAAAGTTACTGAGCTGTGAACTTAAATTTGATATTTTATAAATTTATATCCGAAATCAACATTCGACTGAATGCCGCCCTTTTGTCAAAAGTTATTAAAATTATGCTAGATTTTTTGTTTTGGGAGTGAAAAGATTGGGCAAGTTACTAAAGTCAGCTGCGGGCACCGTTAGTTTTCTAAATCCATCTGACTGTTCCTAAACTCATCAATGGAATTATCCCTTTATTCATCGATTTAATTACCGAAGGCTCATCGTATTTTGTGGTCGATTGATTCCGTGGATGTAAGCTCATTACAACATTAGTGTATTTATTTACATATATATATTTATTTCCCCGTTCGGGTCTCCGGGTGGGGACTGCTTTAGGGGATTCATGGCGCAAGTTGAAATATAGGGATTTAAATATTGGTACATGGAACGTAAGGAGTTTAAACACAGCAGGGGAGCTAAAATCAGTCGCGAATGAGGTGAATGGGTACAATTTGGATGTCGTGGCTCTGCAAGAGGTTCGCTGGCCAGGGGAGAGCTCGATGAGGGAAGGAAAGTACACTATTTGGTACGGAGGAAGCGGGAATCATTGTTTAGGTACCGGGTATCTAATTAGGAGTAGATTACTATCCGCTTTGAGGGACGTACAATTCTTTAGTGATAGAATTTCGGTAGCTACATTTCAGGGACGTTGGTTTAAAATCGCATTAATAAACATACATTATCCGACCGAAGATAGTGACGATGAAGTCAAAAGTGAATTTTACGATAAACTCGAATGGGTTTATGATAAACTACCGCGAAACTACATGAAAATAATTATAGGTGACGCGAACGCAAAGGTAGGAAGGGAAGAAGTTTATATTCCGACGATTGGTAAAGAAAGTTTGCACGAATATAGTAATGATAATGGGATCCGTCTGATAAACTTTGCCATCTCGAAAAACCTGATAATTAAAAGTACGACGTTTAAACATAAGGATATTCATAAATATACTTGGACATCACCGGATTCGCAAAAACGAAATCAAATCGATCATGTCCTGATACAACATAGCTGGCAAAGCAGTATAATTAATCTACGGTCTTATCGCGGAGCAGAATGTGGGTCGGATCATGAATTAGTAATCGTGAAACTTCGACAAAAACTTAATATAAAAAAGAGAAAAGAAAACCGTTTCGATTTTGAGAATTTTAATTTGGACAAATTAAAAAATCCATCAATTAGAACCCAATTCGAGCTAGATGTTAAGAATAGGTTTGAAGCTTTAGAGCTTCCTGACGAGGACCACGAGGATATTGACAAGTTATGGGTAGAGATTAGGGATAATATTAAAGCGGTCGGTAACTCGTGTCTAGGAAAAAAGGAAAATACGAATAACAAACCGTGGTTTGATGAAGATTGCTTAAACATGTGCGAAAAACGAAAAGCCGCTAAATTAAAAGCTCTAAATAATCCTAGCGAAGACAATCTGGAATACTTCTGAACCTCAAAGAACGAAACGACAAAATTGCTCAAAAATAAAAAAAGGGATTATCTTAAAAATAAAATAATTGAAATAGAAACTAATAGATTCGAAAATAACGTAAGAGACATGTACAAAGGTATAAACAGATCACGTAAATGTGTAGGGCCGGTAACGTCTGGAATCAGGGATGATAATAACAATATTCTGATCGATCCGGTTGACATATTGAATACATTTAAGGACCACTTTGACAATATTTTAAATACCGGAAATTATGATCTGTGTCCTCCTTCTGAGTACCAGAGTGCTGAACCGTTAATAGAATGACCAAGTAAAGAGGAAGTTGAATTAGCTATCGGAAAATTAAAATCTTATAAAGTAGCGGGAACAGACAATATTCCCACTGAACTAATTAAGGCATGCGGGGAAGCTGGAGTTTCTAAAATACATCGGTTGGTTAAAAAGATCTGGGTGAATGAGAAATTACCTGAAGAATGGAAAGAATCTATTCTTATTCCGATTCACAAAAAGGGTCCGAGGACGGATTATAATAACTATCGAGGAATTTCACTCCTTCCGGTATGTTATAAAATATTTACTTTAATCTTAACCAGTCGAATCACGGAATACGCCGAGGAAATTATCGGAGACTACCAATGCGGATTTAGACGGAATCGTTCGACTATTGATCAAATATTTTCTTTACGGCAAATATTAGAGAAAAAATTGGAGTACAAAGGTATTGTTCACCAGCTGTATATAGATTTTAAAAAGGCTTACGATTCTATTGACCGCCAGAAACTGTATAATATTCAAATCGAGCAGGGGATTCCTAAAAAATTAGTAAATCTAGTCAGGATGTGCTTGACAGAGACACTCAATAAAGTTAGAATCGGTAATAATCTGTCCGAAAAATTTGAGGTTCGTTCGGGTTTAAAACAGGGGGATTCCCTTTCGCCTGTCCTGTTCAATTTGGCATTAGAACATGCCATTATGGAGGTAATGCGTACCGAGAAAGGGTTGGATCTGGGTGGGACAACATCCGTGCTGGGCTATGCGGATGATCTGGTAATGTTAAGCGAAGACCTTGAAACTATAAAACTAAATACGACAACGTTAATGAAAGCCGGTAAAGAACTAGGACTCGAAATAAACGTGGATAAAACAAAATATATGGTTAGCTGCAAAAATGGCAATACTACTGGTGATATCGATAAAGATGGTAATATGTTTGAACAGGTAGGTAAGTTTAGGTATCTAGGTTCTACGATAACTAGAAAAAACGAAATTGAAGAAGAAATTAAGGTTCGACTGAAGGCGGGAAATGCTTGCTATTTTTCTGTGACAAAACTACTCAGTTCGCGCCTCTTGTCCCGGAACTTAAAAATTAGAATCTATAAAACAATTATCTTGCCTATAGTTCTTTATGGATGCGAAACTTGGCCGCTTACATTAAGGGATGAGCAGCGTCTTAAGGTTTTTGAAAATAAAGTATTGCGTAGAATATTCGGACCGAAGAAGGATGAGTTAACCGGAGAGTTCAGACGGTTACACAACGCCGAATTGCGTGAACTGTATCCGGGTAATATAATTGAATTAATTTCATCGCGACGAATCAAATGGGCTTGTAAAGTTGTTGGACTTAGTAACGAGGGAATTCCTAAAAGGTTAATATTTGCTGTGCCGAATGGTAAGCGTCCGAGGGGTAGACCGAGGCGAAGGTGGGAAGATTGCATTAAAGCCGATCTGAAGGGACTGGGTTTGGACGGCGAACAATGGAGGGAGGTGTGCAGGGAGGAGCGATTGGTGGTGTCGGCATCGAACCTTCGGGTTCGCTAAGCCTTTTTATTTATTATATTATATATTTATTTCTATTTTGAAACTACGATGCAGTAAAAATTTTAATTTTATTTTACTGTTTTGTTATATTCTAAGAGAGTCAATGTTCCGCTGGAATCCAACAAATCGTTTCTAAACTCAGCAAAAATCTCTTCCCATCGGTGTTAGATGAGTTCAGGAACTCGCCTAAATTCTCGTTACAGTATTATGACTTAGGTATTGCCCGTCCAAGAACAATCTTAAATCGTATTTAAAGCAAACATAAAATATGTTTTTGTAAATAATTATGTACCTACTAGTATCATATTAATTTCGTTATATAGATAGATTTTTACCTTTTACCAGCTTCCAGGGGTGTGACGGATTTTGATAAATTAATTATCATTGAAAGGAAATTTTGTAAAATTGATATGTGACTGATTTCACCAGTTTTTATTCTAATGTTCTTACTATAACTTCAATGGAAGTGATTAAAACTTTATGTTTTACTGATGGTGGTTAAGTCCGCATTTCGAGATAGGACCATACAGTTGTGAAGGATTTAGATGAGATCCGGTACGTTCAACGTTTTTGAAGTTCTAAAAGCAATCTTTCTCGATATATTGCATGTAAAATGCATTAAAATAATCTAAATGATTGAGATTCACGACGCGTCGCCCGCCACACAGGGGGCTGATTCTGCAATCAGGCGAAACAAAATTCACAACAGATATTTTAAAGAAAAAAATACCAACTTTTCCACAAAATAACTCGTTATACTAAAGATAATAAAAAATTTTGCTTATTATATTTTTTAAAGTTCCATTTCAAATTAATTTTTATTAGATTTTTTTTCCTTTTATTAATTTTTTTTTTTTTTTTATTGACGACATTTACAACTGTATTACAAGTAAAAATACATTCAGTAAATGTGAACAAAGGAATAAAATAGCATGAAATCACTTGTTGAGAAACTACTCATTGGGAGCACTCTAAAAATGTATTTACAAAAGGAGATCTCGAGGCCATCTTCTTTTCAGACGCCTCTGAGGGTTAGGAAGGTTTGTCATGGAAGGATAGGTATCTGGATTGGGCCAGGTCAGAAACATAAGGAACATCAAGGTCGTTATGGATGATTTTGTTTGTGACAAAGTAAGGAGCATTGAGGATTTTACGAAGGATTTTGGATTGTAAGGATTGGATACGAGAGGAATTCGATGGCTTAGTGGAGCCCCAGAGCTCAATTCCGTAAGTCCAAATAGGTCTTATTGTAGTCATGTATATGAGTCTTTTGTAATTGACTGGGAGGTTAGAGCGTTTGTCTAGTAAGTGCTGGAGTAGTCGGATGCGTCGAGCTGTTTCTTGTCGTTTCAGTCTGGTATGAGGATTCCAAGTTAGACGTTTGTCTAAATGGAGTCCAAGGTATCGAATTCGTTCAACAGGGATAAGTGTAGTATTATAAGGATAAGTATTTAGGAACGAGATTTGAATGTAATAATAGCAGAACTGGACTATGATCTGATGAAAGGTCATCCAGGGATTTTATTGTGGTCAGGGAAGAGGAAATCTGAGAAGTGATAAATATATCTAGGATATCAGGACGTTTTTTAAGGGATCTTGGCCAATATGTTGGATTCATGGGCGAGAGAATAGAATAACTATTAGAAGATGAGACATGAGATAGGATATTACCACGGGAATTGGATGTTCGACAACCCCATCGTTGGTGTTAAGCATTGTAGTCTCCTCCAGCAATAAAGCGTGATCCGAGTGATTGGAATAAGGAATCAAGAAGGCCATGAGGAAGGGAATTTCCAGGAGGACAGTATACAGCTGATAATGTAAGATAGAAAGGGCGCGTTGACAGGATTACCGAGGTTGATTGAATGGCGTCAGTTGGGATGGAAGGGATTTGGGAATGAGATAAGGATTTATGGATAAGGATGCAAGAGCCTGCGTGGGAAGTGTTATCTGGATGGTCTGATCTGTAAGTGATTTAGTCAGTTATGTAAAAGTTTGATCGTTGTGTGAAATGAGTTTCCGTCAGGAGGGCAATGTCAATGTAATTGTCATGAAGAAATATGTCTAGTTCGTCACGGTGGTTTTGTAGTCCGTTAGCGTTCCATAAGAGAACAGCTAGGGGCTTTTTGTTCATCGAGGAATCTGGTTACAAGGGTTATGAGTGGTTTGATAGTCTGTTGAAGGTCTATCAGGAATGCTGATAGGATAGAATTGATGTCGGATGATGTTTGGCTTTGAAGGATCTGTGGATTCGGATCAGGAGGAGGTTGTGGTTGGTAATTTGTGCGATTAGGGTTATTCGTAGGGGGTTGGGTCCGTTGTTGGGTACGAGGAGTTGGTTGAAATTTTTGAGGTACATATGATGGGGAGTTCATCAGGAGAATAGGATGGGAATGTGCTGGATGCGGATGCTCCGGCGGAAGTTTGACCGTTAGGGGAAGATAATGAGGGGGGATTTGTTGACGTGGAGGTTGATGCTGAGGATTAGTCATTTTAGATTTGGATTTGAAGGTATGAGGCGCCTGACGTGGAAGTTGCTGCTTGATGATAGTGGTTTGGAAGTGTTGCTTGGTGGATTCTTGTTGAGGAAGGTTCGTTGATACAGTGGTCGATGGCCGTTGTTGGACGGTTTGAGGTGTTGTCGGCAGTACTGGGAAAACATCCAGATTTTCAATTTCAGGCGGTTCTGTGTTACTTTTCTGAACAAGGTTCTGGCTTCTTACTGCTGTATTATGGGATCTTTGCTTGTGGAGACTTTTATAAACCTCACAACCTCTATAGCTTCACCACAAAGAACACATATCCCAGGTTCGTGCCTTGGTTTCTGACAAGTGTCTGATGCGTGTCAACCTGCATATTTCACACATCTGGCCTCGTGAAAGCAGTAGGCTTTGGTATGTCCCAGATTTTGACAGTTTGTGCACTGCACTACTATGAGCTTCTGTCTAAGTTCCTCAAAACGGACTCTTGAGTATACTAATCTCGTTAAATGAAATATTTCGGAATTGTTTTTTGTTGGTTCCAGATCCACGAAAAATAGTGGTAACGGATATTTTTCCCTAGGATGTAAGACGGGTGAAATATTTCTGACACTGTGGCCTATTTCTTCCAATACGATTTTAATAGCGTTTGTGGTGGTACTTTAATGCAGACCTCTCAAGATTACTTTATGCGCTTTTTCCTGTCTGAGTTGATAGCAGTGGAATTGGTATTTTCTTGATGTAAAATGCTCGCTGAGTTTTTTATAGTTTTCTTTAGAGTTAGTGTTAATTTTTATATCATTAACTCTTGAGAAACATCGAAAATTAGGCTGTCCTATCAAGTCAGCAATTTCTTGTACGAAGGACATAAACTTTTCAATTTTTGATACAAAAATAGGTGGTGGTTCTGGATCCGAAAATGTTTTTGATGAAATATTGGTAGTAACAGAATTACTGATTGAGGTGGATGGTGGAACTGTTTCTAATTTATTTACTGCGGGTGTTTTGTGTAGATTTGCTATTTTCAGATATTTTTTTTGATTTGGTAGCTTTATTTTTTTTTTCTTAGTTGGTGAGTTACCCGCCGATCCAGGGGCAGAATTTCTATTGCGCTTTTGGAGTGTCCTTCTTTTTAAATATTGCGAATCTATCTCGCTTTTTTCGGAAAATGGTGTCTCTTCCTTCTATTCATCACTCGACGTATTAACAAAATCCATGATAACAAAATATTTAAAAGTCTATAAAAGTTATAATGGAATTAAAATGGAAATAAAAGAAATTAATTCTTAAAACTAAGCTATTTACAAAAATATTTACAGGTAAAATAAAACATTTCTCAAGCTACATAAATAAATAAAACTACAAATAAAAATAATTGAAAAAAAAAGTTTCTAGATACGAACTCGATATCATTCGAAGGAAGATGTGTTGGTACCAGGCGTTGACCGTGAATATATCTTGATAAGGTAATACCCGCAAAAGGAATTATCGGCCAGCTGATCTGTTTCTACCGAACGTATATCAACATAATTTTAATAAATGTCTCTCACCTCAATATTTTAATGTGGAAATGTTCAAATGTACAAAAGCACACTATTCACTCTGTATAGCAGCAGTAATTGAAGCATTAACCTGATGAAAAGGAAACAATGGCAGAGCGATGCGAGCATACGACTGTAATTGCGTTCATGACACTTGAAAAAAAAATGTAACTTAGGTGCAATATTTTAAAAGAATTAAATGAAGAAGAGGAAGGTTGGACTATCCTGAAATAGTTAATTATAATTCTCTCTCTCCTTTCGCTGTGCCTACTTTCCCTAGCCCTGTTTGCGCTACATGAGTTTTCCTGTGAAGAATGACTACATTAAAAACTTTCTTCCTCACCTGTAACGTACTACTTCAAGCAATTGGTATCGTGGGTTTAGATTATTTGTTAGAATCAGTTTGTTAAAACTTACTACAGACACACTAGCGGATTCAGGATTTAATTTTGGGGGGGGGGCTTCAGCCCGAAACCTTTTTCTTTCATAAAAATAACGATAATTACTTTGGAAAAACAAAAAGAAACTAGCTACCTATATGAAATGGTGTTTAATTTACTCCTTAAGTACTTTTAAATGTAATTACACGAACAATAATACTTTAAGAGGTATTTTGTAATTTTTTTTCCCATAAAACATGGTTATATTTTTCCATTTTGGGGGGGCTTCAGCCCGAAAGCCCCCCCCTCCGTAGATCCGCCCGTGTACAGACATGTATTTCCACTCTTTTTTTTTAACACCACAGATTTCCACTGATCTTATTTTATAGATAAAACATCTTATCGATAAGATTTTTTTCCTCTTTATATTATGTAACGTTTCGGCATTTATTGCCATTTTCAAATATTCTATAAAACTAATTGTCATAAAATCATTAATTTTTTTTCGGTATACTACTCCATGTCAGTAATTGTTTAATCAACTATTACAATATATTTAACTCAACATATACATTCAATATATACATTAATATATACAATTCAACTTGTAAGTTGATTTCACATTTTCCTTTTACCAAAATTTTTTTTTTTTCCTTTAGTTAATAACAGTTTTTCTTATACTCCTTTTCTGTAGGCCAGACTGCTCTTTTAATGAATTTTGAGTCATGTAATGGAAATTAACAACTGAATACAGATACATCTTAATTAACATTGTTTTTATATTGCATTGTTATTTACAAGATAATAAAAAACTAATAATAATTTTTATGTAATATACACATTTTAAAAACATTAATAATTTAGTCGTATTACAAACATGAAAATATAATATTAATTATAAAAAGTGGTAGACCAAATAAATATTTTGTACATTAAATCGAGGTGCAGTATTAATCAAATAAATAATATACAAAACGTTTGGTATAAAAAAGTAAAACAATAAATAATTTAAATGATACATAACATCAACATAAACTTAACGAACATTTAGTCGCTATTTGACATGATTCTAGAAACAAGTTAAAAAAATAACATGTCATAAATAATACATTAAGTAATAATATGTAGTATATACAGTATTATTGAATAATAATAGGAGATGGAATATGAAATGATATAGGCCATATTGGATAGTTCATTAAACAAAAAATAATATAAATTCGTTAGAGCAAAAACAAAATAAAAAATTTGATAAAAATTTTTATAAGTTTTTAGGAGATTCCAACACGAGGTCTGAAAGCCCTCAAACGGCAATAAATAACTAGAGATTTCATGTTTGACAAATTCAGACACCTTCACCACGGAAAAATATAAAATCCTGTACATGCAGTTCAGTCCAGAGACAGTAGGTATCGCCCCTAGCGCAGTAATTACATGGTTAATTTTCTTGAAGTGAACAACTATCCTTTGGAGTGAACAACTATCCTTTGGAGTGAACAACTGTCCTTTGGAGTGAACAACTGTCCTTTGGAGTGAACAACTATCCTTTGGAGTGAACAACTATCCTTTGGAGTGAACAACTATCCTTTGGAGTGAACAACTATCCTTTGGAGTGAATAACTGTCCTTTGGAGTGAACAACTGTCCTTTGGAGTGAACAACTGTCCTTTTTTCGGTGATATTGTGAGATTTGTATGTTGTCTGAACTGCGTTAGTTTGATTTTCATTTTTTTTTTTTTTTTTGCCTTGAAAAAATAAATTACTTGATATAATATTACTATACCATTTCAAATTGTATCATTTCTCTATAGTGCAAATGAATCTAGGGAGATTGCGTTAAGACTGTTGTTAGATTTGGACTGAGGGAGGTGTGTAGCAGCGATTTGTGGCGAAGACATCGAACCTCATAGGCGGATTCATTAAGCCTATTATTATTATAATAATATGAATACTGATCCAGCAAAACTTCGCTAATCCATCAGCATTTTAATAAAATCAGATTAGAATTAGATTAGTACGGTGTTTGATATTGGACCGTGAATAAGAAAAAAAATCATCATGGGCGTATTTTGCTGTATTATTCTTTTTTTTTTTTTAATGTAAGCGTGTTTCAGCAGATTTTAACAAAATTTGCCGTGTTTATCAGAGGATGATGCCTTAACCAAATGGATCTGTCAAAATTAGTTGGCCAATTATCGTTATGGAAATTTTTAATTTGCATCAATGACGCATTTAAAGAGTATTATTTAACTATTGCCACCAGGAGTAACAAATGAACAAACACTACGTTCCTCACACTTGATAAAATTGGATCACTAAATTCGGATTTACCTCCTCTATTCACTAAGCTTAGCTCCAAGCGACCATCACAAATTACGGTTTCTGCACAATTTTCTGAATCAAACGCAAATCCAAAACGAACAATACCTAAAAAAACTTCTTAAATCAGTTATTTGACTACAAACCTCAGACGTTCAATGAACCTGCCATTATTTGACTACGAACCTCTGACGTTCAATGAACCTGCCATCTTGCGGTTGTTAGAAAGGGAGGGCAGGCTATACCAAATTTTATGTCTATAATATACCAATTTTGTTTCAACCTGAAAAACTGAAATGACATACTTGACATTGTATTTACACAATAATGATACAATTATAAAGTTATTATAGCTCGACCCTGCTTGCTTTGAGTTCTCAGCCAACACTAGCTTTCCCTGAGAGCGCCCTCTCGCGCCGGTTTGACGGTGATGATGAGGTTGGAGGCGTTAGCGACCATCATGTCAGTGACCTGGTCCAAGGTCTTGCCGTCCACCTCGATGCCGTTCACTTCCAGGACCTCGTCCCCGACGCCCAGCAGCCCGCAGGCCTTCGCGAGTCCTCCGGGGACCAGCCGGGAGATGAAGACCCCGCAGGCACTCTCTACGCCCTGGGAGGTGATCCTGTAGGAGACCCCGTCGCGGATGTAGAACCCCAGAGGGTGCTCGTCGCTGTGCCTCTTCAAGCGGATCCTCCTGCAGGACTTGGGCACTAGGTCAATGTCGATGATCGAGGACACTTCCCTGAAGTCCTTCGGCCCCGATATCTTAGGTACTCTCTTCGTCCTCAGCAGTGTAGAGATGATGCTCCTCTCTTTGCCGCGAGTGTCCAGAGTTTCTCCTTTCCTCTGTATTATTATCCTCAAAAGATGCTTAGCGTTTTGCAAGGCTTTGAGGAAGTTTTCGTCGTTGTTTATCGGCAACAAATCTCCATCGCATGGGTCTATGTAAAAGATTAGGAAAGGCGTTTCGTCTAGTTTGTGGACTTGTTCCGTTAAACACGTGAAATCTTCATATGATGTGTTCGAGTTCCGCAGAATAGAAAACCGCCGGAACTCTGCATCTATCTTGCTTTTCACTGCCACTGTAATCAGACACATACTAATTATTTATTTATAATATCATTGAATACTACAGCCTATTTTTCATTTTCATAATTAGTAAGAAGGAGCATATAAATGTTTAATAAAGAGTGAACACACTAATCGAATCGCATCCAACCGCCTAATAAATTAATATTTATTAGAGCCAATGAATAGATTGGCTTTGGTTGAGTTGCCACCTTCTGGCGGTAAGATAAAAGGATTTGCGTTAGTTTTTTTTTTAATAATAAATATCTCCTCTTTAGAGCGGCAAACATAAAAAATGATTTTATTAATCTTAAACAGCTTAAAATTTACTATCGAGCTTTCAAAATTTATCCATTCCTTCACTGTTGAGTTCTTTCAGTTTTGAACGGAACGATTCTGTTAATCCATTTTGAACCTCGTCCGGAGAATTCGGAAGTTTTCTTGAAGATAATGAGCCATTGGCTGGAGCGGTAGGCGGTAGTCGGGACAGACCTCCCTACCGTGCACCGTCTCCTCCACATCCCAATAAGTTGCATTAACTGGTGGTCCTTGTAATTATTTATTAAAAAAAAAAACAATGTTCTCACAAAAAATGTAGCCGCACTGTTCCAAAATGGTGTCCAAACGTGACGGATTGATATCTTTGATTTGAGTTAGTTTTTCGGTCACTGATATTCAGCATTTGGCTTAATTTCATCATCTTTACCCTTTTATTAAAGCTGGATAATATTAAAACATGAAATAATTATTGACCTTGGCAATAAAAACACCAGTTAATTCAATTTTTTAAAGTCGTTTAAACTAAAGTTAATAATCATGCGTCGTTTGTAAATAAACGGCCAACAATAACGAAAAACGCTTTGGAATAAAATATATGGAGAATACATTTTTCTTTTTAAATATTCGTAATCACAACTCATTTATTCATCATAAAAGATAACAGGGTAAGGTTACTACAACTAAATGTACTTATTGGTATTATTAATATATCAATTCGTTCCATCAATTGGTTCTATAAATTCATTAATATAAGTGGAAAACAGTAAAAATAAAAATTATAAGATTTTTTTTAAATTTCAAAACATCAATTTCTTTTTAGCGATTTGTATTTAAGTTGTTAAGTTTAGAAAAATATGTTTCGTATAAAAGCTGTTGTAAATTGTGTATGCTTTAATTTTTAATTAGAAAAATTAATCCAAGTCACCTAAAAAAAAACAGATAATTAGTTGAAAACAAAAAATTATACATGTTTTTTTGCGAATATTTTATCCTTTTTGAAAGCTCGATAGTTAGCTTCCTGCTGGGTTTCGAAAAAAAAATTCATGTACAAAAATGTCAGATAGTTTTAAGCTGTTAAACATAACCAGTTTTTATCTATCTCGCTTTAAAAAGAAGATATTTAGCGTAAACCAAAAATGTTGGAAATTTCCGTGGTTTTTGGAGCGAACCCACAAGGCTTTCAAGAGCCGAAACTTATTTTTGATATTCACTACAAACCTAACAATATTAAAACGAAATCTGAATTACCTGATCAAGGTAGACCCCTTTTTTTTGTGATAATTTGACTGGACTATGTGACCCAGGAATAAAATTCCTTTCAGTTGAAACGAATTTCTGGAGGAGACCAACTAGAAAATCCAGGATGAAAAGGTTAAGAAGAATCACTATAAGGGAGAGATCGGAAGGGAAGGTGCTATGCCCACGTGAGGCGAACGACTTACAATAGAATTTCCAAAGATCGTTATGGATCGAGAGGCAGAGGGTGGAAGAAGGAGAGGAACCTCCAGTTCGATGAAAGGATAGATAAAGTCATATTCTTGGCTAAATACTAAGTACACCACTACATCTTCTTAAATAAGTGCGGGCTGAAATAGAATTGAAAAAATTGTAGATGATATACAATTCTGTGCCCCGGAGGTAAACAACACCACGTCCATTTTTTGTATTTGTTCAGGGTTGCCAATGTTCCATAACTTGGCCTCCTAATTACTAAAACTACACCCCGGAGGTAAAGGACGCCACGCCGCATCTTGTTGAGGGAGCCGATTTTCCATAACTTTGTCAGGACATAACTTGTTAGAGTTATTAAAATTTGTCTCTTAGCAAATAAATTATTAGAACATAACTTGTTAGAGTTATTAAAATTTGTCTCTTACCTAATAAACTATTTAACAACAAAGTGGAAATGCGTGGCCTCCTTTACCTCCGGAGCACATAATTATATTTGGTGTGTCCGTTCCACCTTTTGCTTGTTTATTAGTTTTTCTTGGGGGGGGGGGGAGAGAGAGAGCTGACAGATTTCAATCTTAATCGTACTTAGACAGAAATTTCTTTTTTATCGAACTTTAAAGGCTTAATTTTATTTGTCTTATCAACTTTCAAAGCTGCTTAATTTGTAATGCCATGATTGATTCTCAACCTAATTAGATTCCTCACCTAATGTCTTTCCAAATATATTCCAATGGAGGCAAACCACGGTTTTAAAGCAATTTTTGGATGGATTAAATAGTGATCTCTCCCCTTGCTTTGAGACTCCCAGTAACTTTTTACCTTTAAAAGTTCCTCCGAATTGAACTCCAAAAATGCATAACCCAGTTAAAATAAGCCTATCTAAAATCCCATAAAAACGTCCTTCCCTCCCCCTCATAAATTTTTAAGTTGTACCATTCAACCCTCTTTTGGGCACCCTGGCTTTCCATATTGAACCTCGAATAAATATGATAAAATTTATGCTTGTAACTGAATTTTTAGGTAGATTGCTTATAGTGATACGTTATATTTCTTCACTGCATTTGTTGTTAAAGTAATAAAGGGAAAAACGTAGTATCCAAAAGTTCAGCTACATATATAAATGCAATTTTATTTATTCAATCTTCAATATATGCACTGTATCAGTATTTTTTTCATGATTTATGTTCGTAATTGTTTTGAACGAGATAGCAAAGAGATTTAAAGATTTATTTGCATTGTCTCTTGTTAAAACGTCACGTTCCTCTATTTATGACGTCTGACAAGGATAATAAACACAGGCTTAAAATTTGAATAGAATTCTATGCTATCATTTTGAATAACTTCTAAATAAACCGTCCTGTTTCAAAATTAACTGCAATGAATAAAACAAATATTAAAAGTTCATTTTCAGAACAGCGTTTCATGCTGAAAATTGAATTAAATATTTTAAGAAAAACAAAGTTGTGGTTTTTGCATCTAAAAACAATTTCTACAGGGAAGTCGCCTAGGGGGCTTGATCTTAATTCAATCGATAAAACCGGCTTATGATAACCAACACAAACGTTTTCTTTACTCCCGATTTCATATGAAACTACATAGACACACTTATCAGTAAGCGACTAAAAAAGGAGCTGGATGAGAGATCTCCTTTTCTGATTTATGGTAGTAAACAAAGATCAGGTCACTAAAATACTATTATTACCAATTCAATAACTCAGCTGATTTAAACAGGAAAAACGTTATGAAAGGGTCATATTTATTTCGAGATATGTAACCTCAACTATTATTATTCTGTATAAGGTATCCTCTTCTTGCAAGTACGGAATATTAGGAAATATTGTTAGACAAATAATGCCGGTCTGCTGAGAAAATACCATTAGTAATAATAAAAGGCTTAATGAAATATAAGGTTCGATGCCGACACCATCAATCTCTGTCTGCACACTTCCTTCCACCGATAGCCGTTCAAACCAAGCCCGACCGGATCAGCCTTAGGGAAATCTTCCCACCTTCGCTTCGGCCTACTCCTAGGACGTTCAAAACTCAGCACGGCACATATTAATCTTTTAGGGATTCTTTCGTTACTAAGCACAGCAATTTTACAGGTCAATTTAATTACCTCAATTATATTAACCGAATAAATTTCACGAAATTGAACGTTGTGTTGTAACCGTATAAATTCTCAGGTTGGCTTATTCTCCTTCGGTCCGAAAAAAAAAAAAAAACAGGACAAAAATATCGTTCAGAAAATAAGTTAGTCTATTTATGACTCGTTGCCGATAAGACAGAGATGTATTGTGCGGTTATCGCACCGAACCTCGTCGTAACCATATCTACGAATTAGTATTTAAAGCTATCTTCCCTTCTACGCCTCGGCCTGGACTGGGAAAAGGCGCTGTATTCCTTTGCAGTGATTCATTCACTATTCCGCATAGCTCAGCCCATTTCGATCGCGGTGACATCATTCCATTCATGTTACACATTCGCGAAGAACTGTAATATTGCTAACTGAGTTCTTCACTTAGTAAATCCTTACAAAAATCCTAAAGTCATTCGATGAATTATTTTGTTTTACTTTGTTGTATAAAATAATTTCTTCCTGGTAGAGAGTTTTCTCAACTCTATTCAGGAGGAGTTAAGGTTAGGCTGAAGGCGGGAAATGCTTGTTATTTTTCTGTGACGTAGTTAGCTCGCTTCTCCTGTCTCGAAACCTAAAAAATAGAATTTACCAAACCTTTATCCCACCTACGGTTCTTTATGGATGTGAAACGTGGCCGCTTACATTAAGAGATCAACAATTGAATTTTTTAATTAATTAATCTATCTTTATGTTTCAAAGTTGTTCATACTAGTCCAAGTCTGTTCTACAGACATCGCTTGTATAATGGCCAAAACACTATAAATGTTTCAAATTTTTTAACCCTAAATCGACTACAACTTTTTCACCAATTATTGATATGAAAAAAACAATTTTCGACAGATAAAGGAACCAATTATTGACACCATATTAAATCCTCAAACGAGTTTATTTTGAACAAAATATTTTTAATTTATAGATACGAAATTATCACACATTAGTATCTGCCCACTTTAAAACTTATTACCCATACCTAAATATGACAAAATGGTATGAAACAGGAAATTATATGCCATATTAGGTAGGTATACTTTGTATGTATTGTATTACTTAGGTATACTTTGTATATTCCAATCGATATCTAGAGATTAAGGAAAAAGAAAGCTTGGGTTTTTCGTATTCCTAAACATTGGAGGCTTCAGTACTTCAGTAACTATGTTCCACATTTCGAGGGCGATAAATGTTACGCTCTTCGAGGGCGATAAATTACCAGATTTTTCCGCTCTTCGACTTCCAATCCTCATCAAGTTGAAAAACATTCTTCAGTCTATCGCAAGAGACTAAGAGGGTTAGGAGCCTACTTTCCTTCTGAAACACTGAAAATTCGAAAAGCCATGATTGCCTTTTGCTAACTATTGTGGTTGTGAAGTCACCCTAATATATTGTCCGATCTGTGTCCATTCTGCCGAAATTCAGAGTTCTTCCATGTCTTTCTATTTATGTACTTCTTCTGTATCATTCTGTTCATGTTCATCTTTTTGATCCTATAATCAACTTTGTGTCAATCATTTTGAAGATCCGATTATTGACACCTCTAATACTTAATTAACATTTCAAAAAGATATCACAACAGGAAGTGGTAACAAAATAGGGAAAAACGTTGCCTCACTTTCTAAGGAAAACCCATAAGCTACCGGCCACTGAATTGAAGTAACAAGAAATATGCGTTTCCTTACTAATTTATCTCCCAATGAGGCAATTGATGACTGATTAATGTATCTTTAAAACGGTGACAAGTTTGAAATCCTACATGAACCTAAACGCTTAGTTTATCAAATTTATGTGTCAATAATTGGTAACACGTTAATAATCTGTGCCTTTACCAAACTGGTTTTAAACAAAAATAGTTTACAACTCATTCAAGGATTTTTTTTAAACAATTACAATCAAGTCTGAATGAGAAGGAAATATTTTATTGTAAATAACGTGGCTTCTAGACTTTACTCCCACTGGATACTCAATCAGCCACACATTTTTTAATAGAACGGCTACATCGATTTTTAAGTTGGATGGCTCAATTTTTTCGGTGAGGTCACCTTAGTGTTTTGAATCAATTTGAGCTGGAAACACTTTATCGTAATTGAATAAAATGTGTTCAACCGATTGGCTAGAACTATGTAACGATTCTTCCAACCACTAGCGGATCCAGGATCTAATTTTTTTTGGGGGAGGCTTCAGCCCGAAAGCTATTTTTTTCATAAAAATAACGATAATTACTTTGGAAAAAAAGAAAGAAACTAACTACTTGTATGAAATGGTGTCAAAGTGATTCCTAAAACCCTTTTAAATGTAATTACACAAACAATAATACTTTAAGAGATACTTTTTAAATTTTTTTTTTTCGATAAAACATGGCAACATTTTACCGTTTTTGGGGGGGAGGGGCTTCAGCCCGAAAGCTCCCCCCCCCCCGTAAATCCGCCCGTGCTTCCGACAATTGACTAGATCGATTATTAAACTAAAGATATTTGTTTTTTAATATATCAAAGTCAAATACATCTTCTACATCAACTGAGACAAAGATTAGGTATATATAACATGGCACCATGGGTCTGGCAAACCCCCTCACCTACCTTCCATAAGAACACTGCGGTTCCAAAACTATTTTTTTACAGAATAACCTCTTTCATGATTTACAAAACAGTTTAAGTTTTAAAAAAAATAATTTTCAGCATGAATAACTTAACTATAAATTTACTTACCCCTGTCGGATGTATCCGTGCCGATCATGCTTGAAAACTGTTACCTCTTCATAGGAGCAACAACAAAGCCTTACTAACTGTCTTAAGAACAGGACTGACTTCAGGTCAGTCAGTAGGTGCAGCCATCTGGAGGCAATTAACCCAAGCACAGGTATCTTCTATATACCTGCATTTATCTCTTTTGTCTATGTTCTTTGTTTATAATGGATTGTTAATACCTTCTCTATTTGGAATGGAATATTTTCACATTTATTATCAAAATGTAATCTTTTTTGTTATTAATTTTACCTAAAACATAAGTATTCAATACATTTGGATGATATTACTAGAGAAATTAAGGATTTCTATGTTACACTAATTTATATTTTATACAACGTACCATACAATGCTAAATATTAATGAATGAAATTTTAAACTGCAACATCCCATCTCTCTGTTAAATTTATTTATTTTGTATTTCTAATATTGGAAGTACCTGTAGTTTATTGCAAAAAGACAACAAATACACCTTTAATATAGCTAAACTGAATTTTTTTCATTTTTTCATCATTCAAATCATTAAATTCTTCAAGATGATACAAAAATTTTATATACCAAACATAGATACATACATTGCATAATATTCTGATTTCACAGGGAGAAAATTTATCGAATTACTTAGAAATTTCATTTTCTAACATGTTACTTAATGATGTTTAAAAATCTATCATATTTTGTGGTAACATCGTATGCGATTTTCTAATAATTAATGCGAAAGGAAAAGAGGCTCTGATAGTTAATCCTAATATTAGATTTGAAACAAATGATGAGGATCAGGATCTCAAAGTACAAAAAGAAAAAGAGGAAATTTATAAAAAAAAATGCATACTGTACCTCCAGGAGAAATATAGTGGGAAATTTAGCGAGAGAGTATACTCAGTTCGGGAGCTGTGCTTTGGGAGTTGAGGAGCGATTCCACATTCAACTGCTTGTTTTTATGGAAGAGCTGGGGGAATTGGAAGTTGGAGTTGGTGAACTGGGGGAGTTGAAAGAGCAGGGCATATATTTGGAGTTGGTGAACTGGGGGAGTTGAAAGAGCAGGGCGTATATTTGGGTTTAAACGTTGCCACTAATAAAAAACTTTATAATGACTGCCTCCTGAATATTGATCACCCATGATATGTTGAACAGTTGATTAACTTCCTTCAATATTTCATTTATTCAATTTAAAAATAAACTATAAATTTAAAAGCCAAATACTTTATTTCAATTTACTAAAATAAAACTTAAAAAGTTCTATAAACTGTTCTAAATTAGTTTGATCTGCAATTCTTAATAAATTTTTTTTTTTCCTCTTTATTTTTTAATTCACAACTGTCAATGTCCACTGACAACCAGTAGGCATGAGGAAGAGAAAAACCCAGTGGTTTATCTTCAGTCATGTTTGAGGTTAATTAAGGAGATCTCTCATCCAACTCCTTTTCAGCCTTCTGCGGATGTTATCGGCCATGTTTTTATTGGCCATGTCTTGGAGGTGTCTATTGGGGTGACCACAGAGCTTGTTGTGAAATCTTTTGTAGTAAGTTTGTATATGTTTTCTGACTGTTTGCATGTGTAAGTCTTTGTGGAGAGTTATGTTACTAACATACCAAGGTGCTTGAGTAATTGTTCTGAAGGTTTTGGCCTGAAATATTTGTAATTTCTGAATGTGAGTTTTTTTGGCAATTCCGTATATTTGTGATGCGTATACTAAAGTGGTTTTAGTAAGTGTAAGTGTTAAGTTTTTGTCTTAGATCTAGTTTTGAGCGACGTCCCAGTAGGGAACATAATAGTCTAAATCGTTGATTTAGTGTCTTTCGCTTAACAGTGATGTGTGGGCCCCATGTCATCCTTCTGTCAAATGTTAGGCCTAGGTAATGTACTTTGTCAGATTGGGGAATATGTTCATTGTCAAGATAGACAGGAGGGTAGTTTTCGCGACGGAGTGAAAATGTTATGTGTTGGGATTTGTTGTGATTTAGTTTTATTTTCCAAAGTTTGTACCAGTCGTGTAAGATTTGCAAGTGATTTTGTAAAGTATATGAAGCATGTGTGGGGTCATTGTGCCTTGTGATAATAGTAGTGTCATCAGCATAGGTGGCTATCAAAGTGTCACTGGAGAGGGGAATGTCATGTGTGTAAATTATGTAAAGCAGTGGTGCAAGAATTGATCCCTGGGGCACTCCGGCCAGAGTTGGTCTGATAGTTGAGATTTCAGAGCCTTGTCGAACAGAGAAAAATCTATCAGAGAGGAATGATTGTAATATAAGATAGTAAGTGGAAGGAAGTATTTCCTTAAGTTTATAAGGAAGTCCCTGGTGCCAGACCCTGTCAAATGCCTCAGCAACATCCATAAATACACCAGTAGCATACATCTTTTGCTCTAGTGCTGTTGCTATGTAATCTGTGACTCTGTGTAACTGTTGAGTGGTAGAATGTAATGATCTAAATCCAAATTAGATCCAAAAGTCATGATAATGAAAGGTATGATTATTCGAACTTTATTTATTTATATTAAAGATTATGAATCTTTTATCTCAAACATCGATATTTTTTTATGAAGATAACATTTCAGCCACAAGTAGAGGTCATTTACAATTATAAAATATAAAGTTAAAATATATAGTAATGATAATAGTTTTTTGTTTAATAAATTTGTTATTTTAAACTTCAATAAGTAGAATTATATTGTTTGAATCCATCTTGAAATCATAATGTGTTTTAACTGTAAACTTGCCTTAACTGTCTTTTTGTATGTTTATTTTGTTACATCACTAAAAAAGTTCTTATTTTACCTGTAACAACTTTACCACTACAGGCATTCTTTTTTCATTTTAAAAGATATTTAAATACGTTAAATAAAAGTATATTTAACTTAAAACATTAGAATATTATTTTGAGTTTGATTAACCTTTTATAGAGTGAGAATATCTTTTAAAAACTTTTTATCTCTATCGAAGTCCAATAGATTTTGAAAGAAATCCAATAGACACCGCATTATCTTTTATATAAGTCGAATAACAGAAGCAAAATTTTAAAGAATAATAATTAGCATTGAAAAATGAATATCAATAGAAAAATAGATAGAATTTAATTACTAGAAAATAAAAATAAATTGAAACAATCCTATTACACTTTTATTGAAAAGTATCATTTCGAAAATATAAAAATAATTATTAATTTAGATCGAAGAGTAAAGGTAATTGATGCATTTTGATTCTTACTTTGTCGTTATTTTACACTAGTTGAATTCATTTCATTAAGTTCAGCATTTAATTTTAAAGATAGTTGTCAGATTATGATTAAATAATTTGTTAAGTTCCATTAATTATGGACTTTCGTCGATTTATAGCTTGGAAATCAAAATATGTCCAAATATGAAAACCTTTGCTGGTCACTGATAATTGTAAACAGAGATATGATACATTTCATATTCAATTTGGAATACTGATAAACTATTATTTAAATTATTGTAGTGGATAACTATCAGTGAGTTTAAACTTCATCTAATCAATGCCTAAATGGTACTCATAAACAAAGGACTGCATTCAAGATATGAATTTATAAATTTTTGAATAAAACAAAAAAAATTACTGTTTAATATAACTCTGTATGGGAACTTTTCATTCAAATTCTTACTTTACACTTTAATTTCTAATAAAGATACATATATTGATTGATAGGTAATTATTTTTGAGAAAATATATAAGAGTGGTATTATTAAGTTATTATTAAGCGTTAAAAAAAAATATGTAGGAAAGAATTGTTGTAGTTGATTGTTTTATCTCCTCTCAGTCCAAATATGAAAACTTTTGTTGGCCACTGATAGTTATAAACAGAGATATGACACATTTCATAATCAATTTGGAATACTGGTAAACTATTATTTTAATTATTGTAGAGGATAACTATCAGTGAGTTTAAACTTCAAGATAATTTAATCTTATCAGAATCGGGGGAATTGTGCTTGGCTATGAAGTCACTGTACAATTTGTCTTGATCTATCTGAGATCTAGCTAGAAAAAAAAAAAACATTTCATTAAACTTCAGAGAATCGCTCTTGTTCATAATTTTATTTTTGTGTATATTTGTAATTTACATAATAATGTTGAGTTGAGGCTAACTCTTTTTTTATTGACCTAATCCTTAAGACAAACAAATAAATTCAGTATCATAAATCAAAAGATTTCAAGAAGATGTGTAAGGAATTTATAATTAAAGGGTTTAATATTAGAGTATTTTAGGAAGATTAAACTCTTGAAAAAATAAAAAAAGGAGCTAAGTCTAAACTTGAATAGTTCTCTATCTATTCACTCAGTTGGCTGTTTTTCAACCTCATATTAAACCTCAAGTCAATATTAAATTTATTTATTGTATAAAGTTAGAACTTTAGAATTCAATACAACAATCTTAACGGAATCTTTTGTTCCTCAAAATGAAGAATGATTGACTTGCCTCAGTTTTTCTTATAGTCTTACCATTTCAATAATTTCATTATTCTTGTATTATTATTATTATTGCTCTTTTTAGACCTAAAACTATGAACTATGAAACTATGAAACTATGTACCATTAAACAACTTTTCTATTTCATTCTAATTTCAATCAGTGCCATAACCATCTTGTAGAGTTGGTCTTATAGTCAATTATTATATACATAATAAATTTAAAAAGTTTATACAAATTCAACAATAATAAAATCTCACAAGTAACAGCCTTCATATATTTTGACAGTTGTGGTAATCATTTCAAAGCTATGGTTATTCCATTCATTAGCGGCATTCATTTAATTGAAAAATGAATTGTATTAAGCAATTAATTTTGATTTATACTTTTTAATTATATTATAAGCCGAGCAGGCTAAGGTACTTTCAACTAGTAACAAAAGCTAACCAACGTCGGTCACGGTAGGTACTTCGATGGGAGGCCGCCCCAATAATAACTATCTTGTCAGTTACATGCTGTTTATACTTTACTTTATTACAATATTTAAAGTATTATAATACTTTACACAACTAGTACTTGCCACTTGATATCAGTGGCATGGTAAGGTTGAGTGAGTATGTGCAAGCGTTTTCCTGTGCGACAAAATATTATATTTTATATAGGCATAAG